CAACCCACCACACGCCGCCGGCGCCGGCGCCAGAAGAGGCTGGCGATGGCGAGGAGGGCGACGACGACGCCCACAGAAATGACGACCTTGGCCCACAGAGCCAAACCCCCGTAGTTGCTGCTGTTGCAGGAACCGGAGTAGGAGGTGACGTCGACGCGCAGGGTGACCAGGCTCTGCCCCGTGCTCGCCGCGCAGTTGTTCTGGATGTAGAAGAAGCCCTGGGAGTTGTAGGCGCAGATGCTGGCGGCATCAAACACCCCACTTCCCGCGCTCTGCAGCGTCAGGGTGGAGCCGGACGGCGCCGCGCCGCTGAACACCTGGTTGCAGGTGGCTGCAGTGTTGGAGGTGGGGTAGGACGCGCCGCTGCCGGAGGTGCTGCCGGAGATGACCGTCTGGTTCGAGCTGGAGCAGCCGGAGCCTTCGTTGTTCCGCGTTTGCAGGCAGGTGCCATACACGAAGAGGCGGGACAGCCTGGAGGGAGGTGATAAGAGAAGGGTTCGGTGGGGAAGGTCGGGGGGGTGGGGGAGGGGGGGCGCCCAAAGGATACCCCAGGGTGGAATTCAGTGCATGGCATTGACACTGCATCATGGGGGGAGATCGTTTCAATCGGACCCTGCAATCCAGTGTGTGCGGAGCTGAGCTTGGGCGAACCAAGCCCACATCCCGGAACCGCAGCCTTGGCATCCTTACAGTATTTGATCGGCAGTGCAGCCGCTCGCAAGGCTGACGCTTGGAATGTATGCCTGCACAAGTAGTGTTGTAGGAAACAGGTATTACAATCCGGCACCTACATTGCATGAGGCACCAGAGCTGACCAGAACAGGACTCGCTGCCTCCTCCATTCACTGACGTCGTAGTAGAAGTTATTGGAGCCGAAAGAGATGGGTTGTACAAAGCAGGTTGCTCCTGGCAGATACTGTGTTCAGGGGAGGCGAGGGGAAGGGAGTGCGAAGGTGTCGCTTGATAGAGACCCCGAGGGCCGCATGCCCGCAATCTCCTTCCCCTGGTACCTCGTTATTTGTGTAGGTGTATGTGCGCGTACGGGCCAGGGTGGGGCTTGCAAGGCTCAGCAGGGCAAGCGCGGTCCCCAGCAGTGCGGAGCGCGAGACACCGCGTTGGTCCATTCGTATGCTGCTAGCCATGCAGGAGGTCCAACGCCCTGCAGCAAGGATGAATTAATTTGGCAATCAAGGACTCTGTCGGTGATTTGAGCTGGCGCACACAGGGTCCAAGCGTGCGGCAAACCGTGCTCTGGCGCCCAGGAACGCACCACTCGCGCTAAGAGGGTTTTGCGCTGGGTCCAGATCTTCAAGTTTGCACCCCTACAAACTTGAAACGATATCGAATATGTGAACTCATTCTGAAATAGGTCTGATGTACTCTCTGTGGCTCCACCAATAGGGTGTCTTTCCTGCTCCAGGGCAAGATTTAAGATTGCGGTTGTAAACTGCATTCCAGGCATCTAGGGAGAAATTTGCAGCTGCCTGCCGATTGTTCAGCTTCTAACATGGAAATATGGGCACCTGATCACAAGGCAGCGATGCACACCTGAAAGGAGTGGAGATATGTGGGCGGAGGTGTAAATAAGGCAGGACGTGTCACCTCCCATCCTGTGCAAGCTCATTTTTCGAAAAAGCTTGAACTCCGTTACTTGTTCGCAGTAGGTGCAGTTCCTCAAATAAACTAGGAGTGCGTAACCACCCCTGTACATTCTGCTTCTGCAGAGCAAAGCAGTGCGCAGGGCTCCAGGTTTTCACTTCAAGTGTGCATCAATCCATGAAGCTTCTTCAGAAACCGGTCCAATAAAAGGGTGGAATTATTCATTGTTCAATTTGTCACCACTATATACGGTTTAATCATGCTCGTCCCTTGTTTCTTCGTCAATTCAAGTGTCTTGGCCTGGTGCAGGGTCTCTGTGTGGGGGGGCACCCCTTGTTGACTCCGGTCGTTGGCCCTCCAGCGCGGAGCGGAGCTCTGACAGTCAAAGCAATCGCGGGTCCATTGCAGGAGCACAGGACATCCTCGCTGCACCACTACTGTAGTCAACATCTGGCTGGGCTCCTGGTATCATAGACCGGCCCAGCAACCGCACGGGGGCCAGCGCCGAGGCAGCGGACATCTGACAAGTGGGAGTAGGGCAGATTCCTCAGTATGGGACTGACCTTCACGAAGCTGTTCAGCCGGGTGAGCCGAAGAGTAGCAAGGGGAAGCAAGGTGCCTCCCGGGGCAAGGCGCGGCACTCTGTGATCGCCGACCTCCAACAACATTCTGACAGTTGCACCGCACTTCCCTCGCAGCTGTTCTCCCGGAAGGAGATGCGGATCTTGATGGTAAGCTAGGCAGTGCTTGCCATGCGCGCACGAGCAAATCCGCCCCGCCGGTCCTGACCCTCGACTTGTCTCCCGTCTCAGGTGGGACTCGACGCTGCGGGTAAGACCACCATCCTGTACAAGCTGAAGCTGGGCGAGATTGTCACCACCATCCCCACCATCGGTGCGTTGTCATTTTTTGAGTAGGGAAGGGATCAAGGATGTGATGGGGTTTAAGATTGGCAGAGGCTGCGGAAGAGCATCCATGAGTGAGACTCCCTTAGGGAACAAGGCGCTGGCAAGATGGTCTTTCCTCGATCGAGTCACTGATAGTTCCTTCCAATTCCTGTTCAATAGGCTTCAACGTTGAGACTGTGGAGTACAAGAACATCAGCTTCACTGTGTGGGATGTGGGCGGTCAGGACAAGGTATGCAAAGATGCTCTGGGGGGTCCTGTGTGATCTCATGTCTGGGGGTCCAGGGAATGTGCGCAGCAACACGACGCGCCTCTTCCAGGTGGGTTACTTTTGTTAATTCGCCCACAAACCTCGCCCGCATCCCTCCTCCCCAGATCCGTCCCCTCTGGAGGCACTACTTCCAGAACACTCAGGGCCTGATCTTCGTGGTCGATTCCAACGATCGCGACCGCATCGGCGAGGCCCGCGACGAGCTGCACCGCATGCTAAACGAGGACGAGCTGCGCGATGCCGTGCTGCTGGTGTTTGCCAACAAGCAGGATCTCCCCAACGCCATGAATGCCGCCGAGATCACCGACAAGTTGGGGCTGCACTCCCTGCGCCAGCGCCACTGGTGAGCCAGGGTGATTGCCATGGAGTGTTGCTGGTGCTTGTGAGAAGGGTGTGCGTGCAAGGGTTTGCAAATCGGTGGCGTGAGTACTACTTCCCCGATGTGTTCTGCCCCACATCCCCCCTGCATCCCTGCAAACCCCCCTTTAGCCCCCCCCCCCTCACCATCTGCATCCATTCCTTCTTTGTGGTACAGGTACATCCAGTCTTGCTGCGCCACCAGCGGCGAGGGTTTGTACGAGGGCCTGGACTGGCTCTCCCAGAACATTGCCAACCGAACGTGAGCGGTCGCAGATGGCTGGAAAGGATGCGCAGAAGATGGGTGGCGTGGGGCTCTGCTCTGCCCGGAGCGCCAGTGGGGGCCACTGTTTGGCACGGCGAGAGCCGTGGAGCGACGCACGCCGCATGTCACCCTCCTCCCGATGCCCTCCCCTGCACCGCGTCCCCCGATATACACTTGCTTGGCTGTAATCCTGGAACGTGCAGGGCAGGAAGGGTAGAGAGGGGAAGGTGAAGCTGCAAGCTGGAAAAGTTCGTTGGCTGCGACAGCAGCCTGTGGCACTGCGGGTGTACAGTGTCCTGCACCTCCCGCCCAGCCCACGAGCCATCACTGCGCGTCGCCGGGCTTGGCCAGCTTGGCCAGCAGCTCCGCCCCCTGCTGCCCGACCAGGGCCAGCTTGTAGGTGAAGAAGCCGCCCACCAGCGCCAGCAGGGACAGGTGCTGGCCCGTCGCCGGCGCGGCCAGCGTCTCGTATCGATTGAACCCCAGGATAAGGATGGCAGGGATGAGGAGGCGCTGCTGGCTCAACATGCTGCCTGCCATGCCGGAGCCGCTGGGCGACATGCCGTCCACCGTGCGATACAGGGCCCGCAGGTAGAGCAGCCCCGCCACCGCACCCACGGCGTAGCTCGCGGCGCTCGAGCTGCAAAGGGCGAGAAGAGGGAAAGGGTGGCGGGGACTGTCGTGCGAGGCGCTCGTGCTCGGCAGGGAGGGAGGCTGACATGCAAGGCGTGGAGTCTTGCAGCCATCGTAGCCCAGCCACAGATGCTGGTGCCCGTGCATGTGGCCACCCCGGCCCCCACTCCCCCCCCCACCTGCCATGCACAAAGGCTGTGCCTGCCAGACAGATGCCTGACAGCCCCAGCGTCCACACCAGGCCTGCAGCTTTCATGGTGTCGTACGCCTCCTGCTCCAGCCGCGCCGCCTCCGCCGCAGCCTCCCCATTGCGGACGCGGGAGGCGTCCGCCGCCAGCGAGGCCTGGCAGGGGGGGTAAGACATCACACTGGTGTCACGGCGCCGTGCAACAGCGCACGGATGTGGGGTGCTCAGGCGTGTGCAGAGCAGCCTACCGCGCCCCGCGGACTAGAGCTGCGGGGAGCGCAGGAAAATGACCAACACACTCACCCGCTCGGCAAACCGGGAGGTTCTCTGCCAAGCACGAGTTTCGTTCCTGAAAGCGGGAACGGGTTGGGACTTTGCAGCTGGCCGCATCTGCGCTGCCAGCCCGGCCTCTGCTGCACCATCCAACCGCTGCTTCTTCTGGATGATCAGTTCCTGGGAAAGGTCCCGGTCCAGGCTGCGCCGAGGATATCGTTCGGAGTTCAGATTGGACAATTCTCATTGGGAATCCACCATGAGTAATGCAGCCAATCCCACCATGCGGTGACTCGATTACTATACATTTAAAGCTAGAGTTAGACTGCCAGCCCCCAACCCAGAGTGTCACCTGTCAAGGCTCTGGCGGCCGGCAATGGAGAGGTACCCTCGCGCTGCGGGTCGTGCTGGCTCTGCGACGGCTTCGGGGGAGCTTCCCTGCTGGGGTGGCTCTCCATTGCTGTCTGCCTGCTTACAGTGTCCATAAGGGGGAGGCGGTGTCCAGGATCCTCGAAAATTCATATCAGACCGCAGAGGAATGACCACCTGGCCTCATCTTTGATGCCCTTGGACGCCCTTCCCCACCTGACCCATCCAGTCGATGTTCCAGATGAATTCTGGGGTCCATCGGTCCTTCTTATCAGTCAGACTCGCATTATTTGTCTTCTTAACAGGGTATACCTCCGCTGTAGAGAGAGCAAGGAAGGTGTCGGTGCCCAACTTGTCGCAATCTCGGTCTCTGGTTCGGGTCTACCCCGGGCACTCCGCCCATCCCCTGGCACGACGGCCTCACTACACGCGACTTACCCTTGGGGTCTACGTCAGCAAAATAGCCGGTCTTGGGGCGTTGCAATGCCTTCAAACCTCGTTTTGGGCGGTCCCGGGCCCCTCCCTCTGCATGGGAGGCCGTCGCGAACAGAGCGCGAGGGCGACATGGTTTTAGCGACGGCGCACTAGCAAACATCATCATGATTTATAGAGACGCTGCGAGGTTTCCGTAGCGTCCACGTGTAGCTAGTCCTCTGCATGGTGGAGCTGTTCGTGCCCATGCCAAACCCTGACGCGCATGCTGTGCTGTGCAGGTGCAGGTCCGGGACAACGCTTCGAAATCAGAACAGGGACAGGCAGATACACGGCATGAGGATGGGCACGGGCTTCAGCATCAAAGAAGTGAGGCACAGATATAATAACGAAATTAGTGTCCTTCCAGGTGAATGCCACAGATTTTGCCCGAACCTGTCTGCCGCGACTAGAAGACAGAACTGAAATCGGGCATGGACGAAGGATTGGAGGATTTGTACGCCTGGGTAGACACCGTGCCCCTCACTCGGCCCAAAAAAGCATTCAATCGCGACTTTGCAGACGGAGGTGTGTATGCAGGGCGTGTTCTTATTGATGTTGAAGTCACCTGCCAATGATGAAAGGCTAGTTCTGCTGCAAGTGCTGCAGAAAGTGGTGGCTATCCCTCCTGACTGCATCGCATCACGTCCTCAAGCACACGACAGTTCTCGTGGCGGAAATCGTGCACTTCTTCTGCCCTCGCCTGGTCCAACTGCATAACTATAGGTATTGCACGGGTGAACCACCTGGCACCGCATTTCAGGACTGCGGGCGGCCTTCCTATCCCTCCCTCGCATGGTGCCTCAGGCCCGAACTCCTCTTGCATGCAGTCCCGCGAATGGCTTGGCGGGGAAGCAATACAATTGGTATACCCTGAACCAAAGAGTCTTCCGCAGCCTGGGTCTCTCCTTCACCAAGCAGCAGCTCTCGGATGCTGCCTCTGCCATTCCCGGGTCCGCAGAGTCCATCTTGAAGGTGCTGAGAGCCAGGCTTCAGGATGAAGTCGGCCCACAAGCCGAGAGAACAGAAGGCAAGGGTGTAGAGGAGGAGCCATGTGTGGACGTCATCCCTGCCGTGCGCAGGGGTGAAGCTTCTCCTCCCCCTGCAATTGTGGAAGGCGACCTGGTGGCTCATCTGCAGCAGACCATTGAGGTGAGGGGAATGGGATTGTTGTTGATAACCCGGTCTCCCCTTGCTCGAGTTACGAAATTGAAATGGTCTTCGATGACTGCGGCAACTCACGATCTTTTGTATGGCTTGCAGTCCACAACCGATCTCCACGCCATATGTAGATCACCCACGCTCAAGCCAGACTGCGTGACGTCCCAACCTCTTCCTCCCACAGCTACTTGGCGTCAAGATATCCAAGATGGAGCAGCTACTGCAACTGAAAGATGCAAAGATCCAGGCACTGATGGAGAAGCTGCAGACGCAGCAGGCCATGCACTCTTATTAAAAGCCAGACCTATTTTGACGACTTGATGTGTGACCATCCTGGGTTTAACATGACAAGGTACTCGGAGCCAGGAGCTTTGGGGGAGTCAGAGTCTGCAACAAACCCAGAAGTGTTCTGTACTAGCAGCATGCCTTCTCCAGTGGCTCTCATGATCCGAGCGTGCTTCGTGTGCGGCGAGTACAAATCAGAGGTCGCAGGCTGCAGATGCCGACGGATGTGGGGAGAGTTGGAGCAGCACTACTTTCAAAAGGGTGTCAATAAATCGATGCGATAGTACACCTGGCAGGGAACGAGGACGACTCTCTGAGTACGAGCTGGCTCTTGGGCCCGGGCCGGGAGAGCTATTCAAACTTCCTCGCGTTCCCGACAAGTTTCTGTGCCGCGCTCGGGGGCATCACTGCCACGCTCATCATTACTCCTCTGTAGCATCACGACACGGAATATACTGCCTGTGACCGTGCTTCCCCAACCCCTGTCTAATGGTCGGATGGGTGCTGGCCAACTCGGTGGGGGCCCCGGCCCTCACCCCTTCGAAAGAGGGCCTGAGCAGCGAACCCGGCTCCAAGCACGCCCTCCCCTCCCTGAGCATGTACTCCGAGCTACCCGGCTCTGAAATATCCATCGAGGAGTTTGAGCAGGCCGCCCTGGACAGGCTGCGGGTCCTTAAGGGCCTGGACGACCTGAAGGCCAAGGGCTTCCGCCCCGATCAGGTGCAGGACAAGGTCCTTTCCCTGGTGGACCAGTACCTCAAAGTGAGTGCAAAGAAGGGGGAAAGGGATAGTCCACCTTGCACGGCCCCTCGTCTGTGCTGGGGCAAAGACCCCGACCAATCTACTGAGCTGGCTCCCAAACTTCACAACCAAGTTCACCTAAATTACGTATCTCCCCCCCCTCCCTCCTCAAACTGGTCAGGCCGCTACACGAGAAAGTACCATCCGGAAGGACACCGTGTCCCACTACGTGCTGCGCCTGGCGTATTGCCGGACCGAGGAGCTGCGTCGCTGGTTCCTGGCCCAGGAGTGCGATCTCTTCCGTGCACGCTTTCGGGCCCTGCTCCCCGGCGAGCAACGCGCCTTCATCGAGGGCAACCGCCTGCCCTTCCGCCCCCTCACCCCCGCCGAGTTCAGGGAGGTGGAGGACGACCTGCGGGCCACCATGCTGGCGGTGACCGGCAGCCTGCAGCAAACCAATGCGCTGTTCCAGGGCGCCGCCGCGCCACACGAGGCCTTCTACCGTGCGCCCTTCGAGGCTGTGCCGGACCTGGTGGGGAGCAGGAGGGTGTACCTGCGCGCCGGCCACGCCTACGTCAGCCGCGACCAGGCGGTCAGCCTGGCAGTGCAGCCCTTCAGGTGGAGATTTCAAGGAGTTCGAGGTGGAAGAGGGAGTGGGGGGGGGGACGCTGATGGTGGTGCATCCTTTAGGAGATGGAAGGGGAGACTGGTGCGAAAATGAGGCTGGTGCCACGCACTTGGCTGGTGACCACGGAGATGGGTGCAAAGGGCAGCCATCTCCCATCATTGCTCGCAGCGTCCCACACAGAGGCTTTACCCCGTCACGCCCCTCCGGCTCCCAAATGACCCCGCCAATACCTTCCTTTGAATCAATACAGGGCGGCGCTGAGCAAGGCGCTGGTGACCACGGCGCGGCGCTGGAGCCAGGTGGTGGGCCCCAGCGAGGCGCACCGCCTTGCGCCCATCGTGGAGTCGCTGAGTCAGCGCTACCTGGGGCCCGACTACTCGGACCCCGAGAAGCGAGGGGTGACGGGCCAGGTGGCGGCCTCGGACATCCCGCGCCTCGCCCAGGAATCGTTCCCCCTCTGCATGCAAGTCATGGCACAGGTGAGGGCAGTGGCCGGGAAGGTGCACGGG